GATTGGGGGGGGGCATATGGATGTTGATGTAAAAGGCACACCCTCACCTTCTTGTGTGAAAAGACATATTGAGAGCTACCCGAGGTTTAAGGAAGCTTCATTTCATGCAACTCACAGACTCAAGATCCTTTGGGATCCATGGAACTTTGTTCACAAAATTTATTTTGTCAGTGTGTTTTGAGTCTGGTAGACACGGGGTTTCAGGGACCATGTTGTCTCACAGGAAAATATGATGTTTCAGGCAAGCACCAAGCCTTATACTTCCTGTCATCACTGGAGCTATGATGGAATAGAACCAATGGGAATTCAGGGCCAGAGATTAATGCTCAGTGCACAATGGGAGTGAGCACAAGGTCCCAAAAGCCTCTTTGGAAGAGTTGGGCTTCATTCAAGAGTTGCCCCATTTCATAGAAGCGAACTATTAAGGGCAATGGTGTGAGCTTCTCTGAGGAGGAAGACCACCCACTAAGCAAATCATGTTCTAGAGCGGTGACAGAATCAGACACCTTTTGGCTGTCATTTCAGTCCATTTTCTCTTGCAGGGGTAACTGGCCCTTCATAGTGTGAAGTGGCATGGCAAGAAGCCACAGGCATTACTCCTGGGAAACATGGGGTACTCAGAGGTTTTTAAAAAGAAAACAGCTGGCATTGGAGTACATGCACAAGGACAATACCTTTCAGTGAAGTCAGCAGTCCTTTCCAAAGTGAACTCTTTCCCCTAGAAGACAGCTATGAACACCATCAAGCTAAACCACAGCCAACTGCAACTCTGTACAAAAGTCAAACCTCCTTTAGGGAGGCAAGGTGATTTCAAGACAGTGCAGGCTTGGGAGACACTACATTTGAATTGAAGTACAACTTCCCCTGTAAGCCTTGGTTTTCCTTTTTCAAATGGCCACAATAATTGACTGTCTTCCTTACATTCTTGGACAACAAGTGCACAGGGTAAGTGGGTGACTGGAGAGCTTGTCATACAGGGTAATCAAGAAATATCACATGGCTTAATCTCACACCCTTCCTCCTGATTCCCTGGGAAGTTAAACACCAGCCCCTTGAAGCAGATGTTACAGGGATATTGGAACAAGTATTCTCTCTATTTTTTTGTTGGATTTTGTGCACCATTTATGGTTAATTGTTCTATCTGGTAGGTCTTGTGTATAACAAAGCAGTCCAAGAAGGCAATACTGTAAAACAGCAATTCCTTACTTTGTTCACAATGCTGTAGGCAATTTCTGGTGGTCTCTAATGAGAACTTTTCCTGTCATCCTTGGCTTGGCTTCCTTATTCATCTCTGGCAACAGTTCTGTTGTCTGCCCAGCTATGCTTGTGGTTGAATGGTCCGTGATGGTCTCTCACATTTATTGAGTGACATGGTTTATGATTGCTGGGGTGAGTGGGATGAAATGGCCCTGGGTCTGTCACGGTTCAGGCAGCTTAAGCTGCTTCACATTACTCTCAAGGTGCTTGAAGCACTAAAACCCAGGCAAATCCCCCAGGACAAGCACTTTCAAGTCGGCTTGCTTCATGTTTGCTCTTGTCAAACTGGATGAAGTGAGTTACAAGCCAAAGGCCAGAGACAAGGACAAAGGCAGAGGGACACCTCCCAGTTGTTATCAGTGACTACCACAGAGATCTGTGACCTGTCCTATTGTCATAAGAAAACAAAAAACTTAAATTTCAACAAGTTACACCTTGCAAGGCTTTTCTCTTCAAAATGACCATTGTATTTCTTTATAAATAATAGTTAACATTTCCTTAGTCCTCTGAGTGAATAACACAATTGTTTTATGAAATTCTGGAAAGAGCACATCTGAAACTTGGTCATTTGGGTGGAAGGTGGAATGTTCTCTCTTAGAAATCGGTGCCTTTACAGTGGATCAGGTCACCACAGAGTCTTTTTGCTTACTTTTGCTGCCACTAACCTTCTTCACCCTGTTCTTGCCTTTCCTGTCACCATTTTCCTGAGATCTTTTTCTTCTCATACAGGCCAAGTGTTGAACGTCTGTATTTAGGCTCAACTGTCTTTGCACAAGCCAAGTCATCATGAATGATAATAAAGCCAGTTTCTCTTGCCACCACCAAAATGGATTCTGACTGTGATGACGATGAAAACATCTGATGTAGTCCTTCACATTTTGCCTAGGTTTCCCCAAATTTCTTTCTTTATTAGTGTTGCCTTTCTAGAGGGAAGGACATCAAAGGCCATTCATTTCTTCTATAGTAGACAGATAGTCATGGGATGAACATTCAGGTCTGGTCAGTTACTGTGCCATTCTTGATGGTGGAGACCCTCAAGCATCCAGGAGGCAAGAATTCCTTGGCTTTGGTTTAATCAGAGAATTGTGATCTCCTAAGCTAGCCACAGATGCCAGCCCAATCTACTAGCTTCACACCTGTTCCTTCTGCTATTCAGATGTCAGAGAATAACTTTTGACAGTGTCTACTATCATTAATCCTAAACTAACTTTTTTAGGACTGCTTGAAATTTTTTATTTGCTTTGGGGTAGTTGATACTGCCCATTTGAATGTCTCTGTTGCAACAGTCTTTTCCATGTGATAAAACTCACTACACAGGAAAGCCACAGTTCTTGTAAATACTGACATTTCATTATTTAGTTAGTAGAAAATAAAAGTCTACATTTTTCTGAGGTTTGCCTAAGAGTATATCACCCACAAATCAAATCACATTAATCTTTTAACCAGAATGGTAGACTTTGATCTCTCATAATCTCCTTTCACCAGTTCAGACCTTCTTAAGAAACACTTAGCAATATTGGTTGTAATGTGCATATTTATCAGCACCCTGATGGTTATATGCTTTTACCTAATTGTTTAACAGAAATTCTGAGAGTATATACACTGAGGAAGGTGGCTTGATAGCTCTCTTCTCCTAGTTGGTCTTTAATAGCAGGGTGATCCCCTCCAAAGATCTTTGAGCATTCTTTCCTACTTTCCATATCTTCAATAGCAATAGTATCTCTATAAAAGCCAGTGTCTCCACCTGCATCTGACCATACTCTCCCCAAATGACCAGGTCTTGGGCACTGCACAGACATCAACAGTAATTTACAAAAGTCAGTCGTATCCTGCCCAAGATAGCTCAGGCAATTGCTACCCTTGAGAAAAGGATCATATTCATTCATTTTCTGGTTTAACTGGGATGGAAAAATATGTTGCTGTGTTGGTACTTGAAATCTGCACTGTGTGTGGCACAGCAACCTCTCAAGTTTTCTGAGTTCACTTCCCTTTGATGGAATGGTTTTTCTTTCCAAAGCAGGGTTCTATACATTTCAACCCAACCCAGGGCCCACTTGATACCAGCTGAGTGCTGGTAAGAGATATATTCCAAAAATGATGGAGGTGTCCCCAGAAATCTAAAAGTCTAAAGCAGAGAAGGAATGAGAGAAACCTTAGAGAAAATAAAAGAGCATGGTTAAAGTTTTGTGTCAATTTTGGACTCTGGGATGCTACTTCTCTGGCTAGAGGTCAGTGTGAACAAAGCACACTGAACTTTGCAATCTCCAAATGAAAAGCACTGGGCCAGGGCAATGGCTCACTAGGGAAAGTGCTTGGGGCTCAAGAGTAAGGACCTGAGTTCTGATCCCCAACACCCACATAAGGGCCAGGCTGCAGTCCCAGTGCTAGAGAGACTCTAGAAACTGAGACCCCGACTTCCTGGGGCTTTCTGACTATTGCAGCTCAATTGGGGAATATCCTGTCCACAAAGTCATAATGGTGGGAGTGCAATGGAAGCAGTAGAGGAAGGTATTTTTTCCCACTGTGGGCCTAGACACCTGTTCAGAGAGTGAACACACACACACACACACACACACACACACACACACACACACACACACACACACACACACACACAACAACAGCCCACACACACACACACACACACACACACACACACAACCCTTTCGAGAATCACCAAACCCCTGGAAGCTCATCTGTGAGCAGGCCAGGAAAGGGTGCAGTGTGTGAGGATGGAGGCTCTTGACAGGGAATCCAAGAATTTGTGGGGGTGCTGCTCCAGAAACATTTTGCAGTGGGGTTGAAATGTGGGGTCCCCAGGTTCAATGACTGGGAATCTGAGGACCAGAGAGGCTAAGCACAAGGGGAACAGGGGCTGTGTGCAAGTGTTTCAGGCAAGGGCTGAGCCAAGATGGTTGACAAGCCGCAGAAGAGAACCTGTTGAAGAAAGCAAGCTGCATGTGACTCAGCAAAGATTATTCTGGCAAGACTGCCATTGGTCATTGTGGCGACACCGGCCTTCTGCCTAGAAATAAGGCAGTGCTGTTCATGATGGGAGAGGACTATGAAGCAGCCCTCGACCCTGCTGCTTGTGCCTTTGTTGGGGAGGCCCGGGCCCCCCGCTGCTGCCATGTCTGGCCAAGACTCATACATGGTGGTGAGGACCCTGCGCAATGTCACAATGGGGTGCACCTCCCCAGCGCAGTGGGAGCCAGAAGCTTCCCAGTCAGAGCGGTGCAGGGCGTCTGCGCAGTGAGCCCCAGGCACCCCGTGTTGCCACAGTCTGGAGACCCCCGCCTCCGCCTCTCGCCCTTCGCTAAACGCTCGCGCACGCGCACCCGGACACGCGCGCGCACGCGCCTCACCTCGCTCAACCCCTGCCTGGGCCGCAAG